GCGTGTATTCAAAAAGAGAGAAATATTAACAATGCTTATGTACATTTATTATTTTATACCTAAATATATATATGTAATGTATGTATCACAATTCTAGCAAAACATATTGAATATATTTATAGCAATAACAATATAAAATCGCCTCTGTTGTATATATACACGTACGTTCCAATATTAACATAGCAAAGCCAAACATTACTATTCTTACACTAGTCTCTGCGATATAATGTAATCAAATGAGAAATCACATACGCTACGCAATATCGCGATAGATATACATATATATTACTCTTTAAGGCACGGACATTATACAATACTATTTATTGCTTTCGAGCATTTTACTGCGATGTTTCATATACATATCTATTTCAGAGAAATCAGATAGAGTATTAGAAACGATCTCATACAGAACGCATGGCCATTGTTTTTCTAGGATCTGTAACTTGCGTATAGCATTTATAGTGAAATTGATTAAATTTAGCAAATGTACTTTCCCTTTGTGTCTCCAGATAAGATCTTCCTATAAACAATTGCAATATATATTGCAATAATATTATCGTTTATACATTTTAGCTAGCGTACAATTAAGCATAAGACATGATCTTGTTATAGAAAATAGTAACATTTGTTTTTATTTTCATTACCTGCGTTACATTTCCCTTTCTCCACTGTAACGCCTCCTTGGCAACAACACTTCGAAGTGCCGGGTCACAGTTGAATAGAAATTGTTTGGCAGTAATTTGTTCCCCGCTTTGTTTTTGCACTTTCTCTAAATGAAGTCTTTGTAACAAAGGTTGTAATAAAGAATCTGGCAGTGAACACATTACTATATCTATAAGACCGGTATATTCTTGATTTGCAAGTTCCACATCTTCAGCTGTAATCTAAAAAGATATTGAACTTTTAATTCTCAGTATAAGACAAAGAATTGATCTGCATCCCCCCCCCCCAATACACACACGTACGCACGCACGCACGCATAATTCTCCTAAAAAAGAATCCGTCAGAAAGTTAAACAGGCAACGATTAATTTATCTTTTTTTATACGTGCGCGCGCATGTGTTTTACATGTTTCATTAAACGATTTGTCATGATTTGTATGTCTTATATATTATACCTCCTTGCCATTGATAACTGCAAGTCCCCAATGAGCTAATCGAAATATAGCATACATTTTCCAATCTTTAGACACAATAGGATTCCCTGCATCTATCTCTATGCTGGTCAACCCTTGTACTTCAGCTAAGGCATTTAATTGACCAAGAAGATTGATGTTAGTTTCTTTAAATACGAAATGCTCCGCATGAGGAAATCTATTCTTTAATTTGCTTAAAATTTTTGCCACATCATTAAATTGTACATAATTAAATTTTACAATGTTGACATCTTGAGCCTTTGACACGTCCCAAGTTCTATCTATAAAGCGTAAAGCACCTTGACCGTATATATTCAGGCAGCGACCAACGATTTCTATTAAATAATCCCCACCTAGAAAATGGTCCAATTTTACATTTCATTTTACACAAACACATATGAATATATATTGTTTGGAGAGAAAAAAAAATCAAAAAATCTTGGTCTACCCTGTTCTCTTTCTTTAGGTGGTACTTGTTGAAGAGGCGGACTTGACGGAGCAAGAGTTCTAAATTTCGCTCTGGCTGTTGCAGCTCTATTACTTTTATAATATACTATCTTTTTTGTTTGAGCACTCTTAATTCTATTTTTATGATCCTTATCATTTTCGTGAGATCTGTGAGTGTTCTTAGTAACCGATGAAATGCTAGAATCACTCAACAATGATTTACAACTGTCTACACTACTAGTCTTTGAACTCAAAGAACAATATCCAGAAGAACTTATGATCGATTTTGGTTGGTAATCATTCTGACCATCTTGAGCATGAAATATCTTTGTATTTTGGAACAATCTATTATTTAAGCCTGTATTTTCGTTTCGCACTGCATCATGACATTTCAAGGAATTCTTTGAGGTTGCAGCAAGTGCTTCCTTATCGTGTGCATGGTTTTCATTATCGTTAATATAAAAATTTGCTGCGGTAATCGAGGACACATCCTTTGCTACAGTAAATTCATTACAGACGATAGATTTATCATAATCTATAGCTGAACCGTATATATTAGGAGTAAATAGATGACATTTTAAGCCACTTTTCAAGCTTCCATGACTCTGTGAACTATCAGTCTCGCTATCCGATATGTTTTCGATATGTTCACTGAGCACTTTCATCTTACAGTCATTTTCTTTATTATTCTTAGACAATCTATTGTCGAATCTATTGCTTGTTAAATTATTTACTATCGAACCTAGTATAGGTGGAAGTTTAAATTCTAAAAGATATGATTTAGATGTGTCCTCTAACTTGAACAAGTTTTCGCTAGAACTGCTTCTCTTTTTTATATGTATCTTTCGTGCTTCCATATTTTCATTTATCGATGTGAGACTACCAAAACCTTTTATTTTAGCTTTATCTAAACTTTTTGGATTTATAGCGTTAAATTTATTTGAACTTTGTGTGCGTAATAATATATTAATATTATTGTTGCCTGCATTATTGCTCGCCACTTTATTGGAATTGTCAAGCGAGACTTTAGTTCTGAGAAATTCCCAATTTGTTTTAGCATTTGATATCACTTCTTCTCTACGTACGCTCATACAAACTTGCGTACTAAGATCAAGAAATGTTGAATTGGATTGTTCCTTGGAAAATCTCCAAGCCATCGCTGTTCTTCGAATTTGTTCGCTAATTTGCATTGTTGATAGAAGTTGCAGACTCGGCAAGTACGAAACAAGAAAGGAAATATAATCAGTATTTAAAGTTACTGGATTACCATCTATTGTTATTTCTTTAATTTGCAAGGCTTTTGCAAGACTACTCATATCTTCGATTCTGAAACATCAAATCAACTTGGCCTATGTATACACATATGTGTGTATATATATATATATGTATATGTACATGTGCATATTTATTACTCTGTATTCTATTAGACGATTTACTTAAAGAATGAATCATCAGGGAACATATGAATACCTCTCTTTTATGGATTTAAAAGTAATGCATGCATGTGCGCGCGCAATGTACATTAAGTGTGTTATACATGCAAGTGTGGATGTCTCAAAATAAAACTTGTAAATATCAACATGTAAGCACGTGCAACTAACAATTGATTAAAGATATTGTTAGAAAGTAAATAAAAGTTATTGACAAAATTACTTACTTATGAATATCATTGTTGCTCAAATATAATTTTTGTAATTGTGGTGTCTCATCAAATCCTAGCAATCTTTTTAATTTATTCCGGCGCAAATTTAACTCTTTTAACGAAGTTAAACCTTGAAAATCATTGCATCCTATAGTTTTGATATTATTCCCTGCCAAGTTTAATACTTTTAACGACGACAAGTTCTCTAAGCCCATAATTTGCTGGATTTGATTGCCATGCAAATCCAAAACTTCCAATTTCAAAAGTTGTTTTAAACCTTCAATTTTTCTTATTCTATTTTTTCCTAATAAAAGTACTCTTAAATTCTCTAAAAAATCAAAATCGCATACTTTTTCTATTTGATTATCGTATAAATCAAGAAATACAAGTTTTGTCAATTGAGAAAAGTTAGAGCTCTCGATCTTGGTTAGCAGATTATGCTGAAGAGACATTAATCGCAATTTGGACTCTCCAATGACATTAGGAAACGTTGTCAGACCTCGCCTATCGAGGCATATTCTGTCAGGGTTCTTTTCTCGTTCGGCAGGAGTTCTCGATGCCACAATCGTTCTCGTTTCTCCTGTCCATTGTAACGTAACCACGTTGCATCCTTCAGCTTCTGCATTTTCAATTTCAAATTGGGTTCCGGTGCAACTACCAAAATATATATATATATATATATACAAAACCAACGATTTCCAACGTAAGAATTGTCGAAGAAACGATTGGTAACTGACCAATATTGCTATTATATGGAATAAAACTGACCGAATATTGCTATTTGGCAAAGCCAAAATTGCTCTAAAGCAATTACCTGAATGAATTGTAACAACGTTTTGACAGCTTTGGAGGTACTGGCGCACCAGGCAAAATTGGTAAAGCAGCTGCTATAGTTAAAAATTGATTCTCCTCTGGAACGCTACCTCGAGCAGTCGATTTACTTTTTGCATCAAATAATACTTTTCTCGTCTGCAAAAATGCGGCCCATAGATGACTATACGTTATATCATATAAAAAGGGAAAGAAACAGATTAGAGAGTGCAGAGGCTTTACTGTATATATTTCATTCTACTCTGTCCTACTTTACAAAATTAAAATTTTGTCAAAGAGTTACATTAGCCTCTCTACGTTAATCATTTTAGAAACGTTATTCATTTATTTAAATGACTTGAAATTTAAAACACTTGAAATTTCACACATTTTAAAATCACACGACTTTTACCCGCGTCGAAGTATCGTTGCTCAATGGCATTACATGGCATTATATAATCAAAAAGAATGAACCGCGTATTTCACACATTTAGCAGCGTTTCACATCTTTGCAATACTTGAAGAATTGTCGGATATTAATCGCGAATGTTATAATTAACTCAAGCTATGATAAAATAAGCGATACTCTTGCTTTTCTGTGTTACGTGTCCTTGTCACTCATTGTCACTGCTGCACTTGGTAGTGCTGTAGGGTAGGCTGTAATGCTGCAGGTCATTGCGTACCATTGCGCACTCGTACGTATGTATGTACATGTGTATGCACACACGCGCGCACGCGCGCGAGCGCGCGTATGTCACATTATACACTTACACCGCAATGTGTATTAGATAGTTTAGTTCTCTCTTCTATAACTTCAGAAAATCCAGAATGACAGTTTCCAACATATACCAAAGCGAATATTGACATAGGCAGAGAGAAAAGGAATCATGTTAAGAAGATAAAGATATATCTTTGAAAAAAAAATTATACATAAACGCGATTTCACGCTCGCGTCACGTTGGCTACATTGCTCCACCCTGCGAGTTTGTGATAGTTGGTATGCATGTACATATGCATATACATATCAATTTCTACACGTGTTCCACACTTACATAGTTTGTGTTTCTACATGTACATGTTCTGTTTCTGCATAATTCTACGGTACCGATACCTACCAACCTGACTACTAGTCAGTGACTAGTGTTTCAACCCCACTATACTACTACTACTACTGACTACTGCCAAGAGTCAAGAATACCAAGTCAATCTTATAAAATTAAGTATCAGACATACTACGCATGATGATGAATCTCGCTGTTGTTAACCGGCTCTTCTATTTTCCAAGAAACTCCATAATATCAACTCGATACACGGTCCAAACGAGAGAATACGCCGGACCAGGTAAGGAAATGGAAAGTTGTCGCACCGATACATATTTCATCATCCTGTCAATCATTCGTCACATCCACGTTTAAGCCTTGACCTCAAACCTAGACCCCTATTCGGTAATTATGGAGGAGACGGCCGACCTCACCGATTTTAATGAAATTAGGCTCATTCGATGCGTTTTTGCATGAAACGAATGAATCTGGCAGAAATAAGCGTCGTTCTGCCCCGCGAACCGAGATATTTAGCGTTAAAGTTCACGACCGTTCAGGTTAGGAAATCTGTCATACCGACTCGATATAAGCGCTATGAGTATGCCTTTTTCATGCTCTGTGACTTAATGCGCATGCGTTTAGCGATTCTTGGGTCCAATAGTGCACGAAATTTAAAATCAAATTAAAAAATGAATTAGTTACTAGTGCAATGTTTCTATTATACAACTATGTATAGGCTGCGTTCGAAAATTGATTTGATTGGTGTTGGGAAAGGAGAGAAAGTTGGCAGAATTGGAAATTACCAACGCTGCGTTTCGTTTCCCGCTGGGACTGTTGGGAGACCAAAGTAATGATAAAAATAGAGAAAAAATTATAAGCTGTTTGAAGTGTTACAGGAGATACGTAGTAGTCATTAAATATAATATATAACACGTTATTCAACTTCATGTATAACTCGTGGAGATGTTGTATACTTAATTGTAATGATCGTAATTAAATACAATAGAATACAAATCTATTCAATTTTAACTTCTGATTTTTCTCTTTCTTTTTCTTTTATGCATACTCTGGATACATGTAAAAGAAATTTTCGATGTAAGATCTTTTCTATAAAGTAACTTTAACGCTAAATATCTCGGTTCGCGGGTCAGAGCGACGCTTATTTCTGTCAGATTCGTTCGTTTCATGCAAAAACGCATCGAATGAGCCTAATTTCATTAAAATCGGTGAGATCGGCCGTCTCCTCCATAATTATCCCCTATTCTTATAAAGTATCAGCAGGTATAATTTTATATATATATATACATATATATACACATATATATATATAGCTTAACTGCAGCACCTCAAAGATTAATAAAATTAGGCTCATTCGACGCGTTTTTGCATAAAATGAACGAATCTGATAAAAAAAATGTCGCTCTGTCCTGTCGACCGAGATTAATTGTTAAAGTTAACGACTATTTCAGGTTAGAAAATCTGTCATATCGTTGAGGCATAGAGCCATAGAGGGACATGAGAACATGTACGTACGGTCAGGGTTGCAACACTTTTTTCGATGGGTTTCGGAATGCAGCCTACTCACCGAGCGATTGGTTCTTATTTGTCGATTCATGAATAAGAACCAATCACTCGGTGAGTAGGCTGTATTCCGAAACCCATCGAAAAAAAAGTGTTGCAACCTTTTTGGCCCTGACCATACACTGCCCGTCAATGGCTGCGTTCAGCGGAACGGTTGTTTTGCAACTGTTGGAAGTTTCCTTCGCGCTAATTGGATCATACTTTTAGATCTAGAAGAATGGTCCTATCTCAGCAGACAATCATAAAACGGTTGCAAAACTGTTGAGTCTGCTGAACGCAGCCCTTGGGTACATTCAGTATTACAACCGTTCACTGAGCGCTCAGTGAGCTCTTGCATCTGATTGGCATATTCCGTTAGAACTAAAAATATAGAACAAAACAGAGACAATAGAGTCCTATATATAAAGAGAAGCGACATTGACGTCCGAGTTTCTGATTGGCAGTCTGATATGTATTCTGATTGATATCCCCTCCTAAGTGAAGCAGCCATATTGTGACCGCAGCTGTTTACACATCTGACACACGTGGCCATCCACCACGTTGTTTGCACTATTTAATGCGTTATATAAGCCTTAAGTAATTGATCAATTTTTTACGGCTTAAGGCTTAAAATATCTATTGTAGATCTAAATAATGAAATACTTTAGAGCTCACTCCGCTAACGGAGTCAACAGAGTACAATGTTAGTGATTGGAGTATGTTTATGTTTACGACACTGGAGCGGTCGAAACATGGCGTAGGGGGTGATGGTAGGGATCCGATCTGGTGGTGGGGGTTCGATGTCGCTTCTCTTTATATATAGGACTCTAAGAGACAAGCGCTCACTGAGCGCTTGTAGTACTAAATGCACCCACTGATTCGCAGGATCGTGCAGTAACCTTGATTTATCGGCTTGATTTATTCGCAGGGTTGATAATGCGCGCACTTCGGAAAACGCACGGAAAGGGACACATTAGCAGTATATATGAATATAGAATAATAAGAAAAACAATAAATAACTGATTTTGGTAAAGGTTTAATGAAGTGTGATCACCTCAAAAATCGATGAAATTATACTCATTCGACGCATTTTTGCATAAAATGAAAGGCAGAAAATCTGACAAAAAAAAGCGTCGCTCTGTCCCGCGAATTGATATATTAATCGTTAAAGTTCATGACTATTCAGGTTAAGATATCTGTCATACCGACTTGATATGTACATACTTTACTTTCGTGCGCATGCGCTGTGATCACGTGCGTATGCAAATTTTGTCGGCAGATAAAATATTCTCTGCCTCAATTACACAAATTTACTGTTTCAAAGACACAAAAGTACTGCTTCAAAACACAAACAGTCACTGCTTTAAAAACACAAAAAGTCATCCGGGGGGTTAGACCTTTACCCTAATTTTTTATTGTTTTTCTTATTCTATATTCATATATACTGCTACTGTGTCTCTTTCCGTGCATTTTCCAAAGTGCGCGCGTTATCGACCCTGAGAGTAAATCAAGCCGATAAGTTAGGGCTACTGCACGACCCTGCGAATCATTGACCTCTGTTATGGCCCGTCTACAATATACGTAGTAAGCTTGGTTTAAGAAGTAAGAGTAAGAAATTGACCAATCACAGTCGATTATTCTTTTCACACTCGACTGTGATTGGTCAATTTCTTACTCTTACTTTCTAAACCAAGCTTACTACGTGTATTGTAGACGGGCCTTTACACAGCACGCTTATAACGTTTTCCACTGGGAAAACTGGTGCAACACTGATGCGCACTGAGTGCAATTTTGTTGTTCCATTGTGAAAACCAGTTCAGTGTTTAATGTTCCACTGACAAAACTGGTGCAAAAAACTTGCACTGAGTTCAACTTTTGTTCCACTGTCTTTGAAGTCAGTGGAGACCAGTGCAAGTTGAAATTGAGGTTATGTATTTGCGCTTTCAAATACGATCATACGTTAAGGCATGATATTAAATTATTTTAATTAATAACAAAATTATTTTTAGTTTTTGCGTATCTTACAAGTAAACCTACACAAGTGTAACTCTCCGATTTTGATGAGCTTTTAGTATGTTGTTCTTCAGACAAAAATAAGCGACAGGTATTTTTTTATACGTGCCCATACGCACTTTTAAGGGGTAATACACCCTTTTGAAAAAAATCGGTTTTTCTCTTTCGAAGCGAATATCGTCGAAACTATAAAAAATAGAAAAAAATTTCTAGAATGAAAATTGAATGATATTAAGAGTACTTTACAACTATAATAAAAAAAATTTTTTTAATTATTTATTTATTGTATACTCCACCCCCACCCCTATTTTCAAAAATTTTTAAACTTTTATATGACGAAAATTAAAGAGCATTTATTGCTGAAAACAACGGTGTGTATTTAAATCACTTTCCGAAAAATCATTTTTCAGATATGAACGAAAACGTCTCTATGTACGCGCTCCGTACGTATTCATACACGCGTGCGCGTATGTATATGTATGTATGCGGAATACCCTTGCCTCATATGTTTGGGGTGCTTGATTTATGTGCGGAATACCCTTGCCTCTTCGTTCGGGGGTGTGTGTGAAGACAGTGTCTCACTTGGTGGAAACTCATTAAATATTGAGAGTTCTGAATTTATTTTCAATAGTTCTATAGTTCTATATAGGATAAATAAATAGTTCCGGCCATTAAAGCCTAAAATTCAAAATGAGACGCCAAGTTCACACAGGGTCAACTCCGTCTAAAAAAGTTTCCAGCCACAGTTTCTTATAGGATTTGAAAAGATACATAGTTCTACAAAGATTTCTGATACCTAACATTGTTATTTTGATTTTTAAACAATTTTTTCCCTAAAAAATAGTCTCTAGAAGGAACGAATATGAGACGCTATCTGATCTCAAAGAGTTCTGTTAGTTTTATGGTACTTTTCGTATAGTTCTGAATGTGTCCTAACGCTTTCCGAAGAGTTCCGATTGAATAAATAATTTGTTAATTTTTTAAACAATTTTTATCACCCAAGGAAAGTGCCTTTCACGTTACATGTGTGAGACGCTAGCCGATTTCCGACAGTTCTGTGAAATATATGGTAATCGGCTAGCGTCTCACACATATAGCCTGAAAGGCGCCTTCCTCGGGTGATAAAAATTGTTTAAAAAATTAACAAATTATTTATTCAATCGGAACTCTTCGGAAAGCGTTAGGACACATTCAGAACTATACGAAAAGTACCATAAAACTAACAGAACTCTTTGAGATCAGATAGCGTCTCATATTCGTTCCTTCTAGAGACTATTTTTTAGGGAAAAAATTGTTTAAAAATCAAAATAACAATGTTAGGTATCAGAAATCTTTGTAGAACTATGTATCTTTTCAAATCCTATAAGAAACTGTGGCTGGAAACTTTTTTAGACGGAGTTGACCCTGTGTGAACTTGGCGTCTCATTTTGAATTTTGAGTTTTTCGGCTTTAATGGTCGGAACTATTTATTTATCCTATATAGAACTATAGAACTATTGAAAATAAATTCAGAACTCTCAATATTTAATGAGTTTCCACCAAGTGAGACACTGTCTTCACACACACCCCCGAACGAAGAGGCAAGGGTATTCCGCACATAAATCAAGCACCCCAAACATATGAGGCAAGGGTATTCCGCATACATACATATACATACGCGCACGCGTGTATGAATACGTACGGAGCGCGTACATAGAGACGTTTTCGTTCATATCTGAAAAATGATTTTTCGGAAAGTGATTTAAATACACACCGTTGTTTTCAGCAATAAATGCTCTTTAATTTTCGTCATATAAAAGTTTAAAAATTTTTGAAAATAGGGGTGGGGGTGGGAGTATACAATAAATAAATAATTAAAAAAATTTTTTTTTATTATAGTTGTAAAATACTCTTAATATCATTCAATTTTCATTTTAGAAATTTTTTTCTACTTTTTATAGTTTCGACGATATTCGCTTCGAAAGAGAAAAACCGATTTTTTTCAAAAGGGTGTTTCACCCCTTAAAAGTGCGTATGGGCACGTATAAAAAAATACGTGTCGCTTATTTTTGTCTGAAGAACAACATACTAAAAGCTCCATCAAAATCGAAGAATTACACTTGGGTATTTACTTGTTAATAAAATAGTTGTTAATAAACTAATGATTTTGAACATTGAAATATTAATGCTAGCTATTTTACTAGATATGCAAAAACTAAAAATATTATTGTTATCAAAAATTATAAAAAAATTAATAAATAATCGAGGATGTTCAGGAGGATCAGGAGGGACGGTCTCGGCGCTAAGCCAAGCGCAACGACACTGCCGTGCCTCCTTTACGCGAGCCGGCGGGTTGCGGGTGATTGAGATTTTGTAATAACCCGGGTAAAAAAGTTTTATATATGATTATATAAAATCATAGGCCTGTTCTTTTTGGCTGAACTTTTGCACCAGTTCATCTTTCTTCCTTTTCTCTCCAGAAGGAAAAAAGAGGAAGAAAGATGAACTGATGCAAAAGTTCAATCAAAAAGAACAGGCCTCATGTGTTCCTCTGAGTCTGCACTATTACTGCACTAATGCAGTTTTCATATAAACCTAGCACGGCGCTAGTGCTGCACCAGTTTTCCCAGTGGAAAATGCTATTAATCGGATTTAATAACATCCGTAGTTATGAAATTGGCCAATCATAGCTGTTTCTCGGAAGAATGGAACGACTGTGATTGGCCAGTTTCATAACTACGGATGTTATTAAACCCGATTAAGGCTGTCGTGTAAATGTAGTCATTGACGAACAGTGTACGAGATAAAGCTCTATATATCAAAGCAGCGCATAGGTCATTCAATGTTGATAACCTAGAAGCAATGGCCGATCGTACCAGGGCCGTAAAATTATCGTACATAACCCAGAATTATTGTACAACATACATTTTTATTCAACGAACAAAATTTAAATACGAAATATATAAGATTTTAATCCGTATAATTAAGCATGAGAGTGAAGCTGGCAGCCAGACTTAGCAGCCAGAACGCTTCAGCCAGGGCCGAATAGGGTACTGGGGCCCAGAAATTAAAAATTAATAAAACGCATTGAAAACCTATTAAAAGTCAGTCACACATTTCAGGTGGCGCAAAAATAGTTAAAATAAGTAAGATTTAAAATAATCTGTCAGGGGGGGGTAACCATTATTGACAAAAAAATTAATTAACATTCAAATACTTACTATTCAGCAGCCCGCAATCGAACGCAAACCCGTAACGACTTGAAAAAAATCACACATACTCTACGAGACGAATACAAAACGATGACATCGCGATCTAACCGGTTAAGGACCTCGTTGTTTATTAAAAAAATTAAATAACATTTATTAACAATCTAGCAGCCAGACCAAACGCAAACTAGTAGCGACTTGAAAAAAATCACACATACTCTACGAGATGAGTACAAAACGATGACACCCCGATCTAACCGGTTAAGGACCCCATTGTTTATAAAAAAAAATTAAATAACATTTATTTACAACTTAGCAGCTAGAACAAACGCAAACTCGTAGCGACTTGAAAAAAATCACACATACTCTACGAGATGAGTACAAAACGATGACATCGCGATCTAACCGGTTAAAGACCTCGTTGTTAATTAAAAAAATTAAATAACATTTATTAACAATCTAGCAGCCAGACCAAACGCAAACTAGTAGCGACTTGAAAAAAAAATGTCATCGTTTTGTACTCATCTCGTAGAGTATGTGTGATTTTTTTCAAGTCGCTACGAGTTTGCGTTTGGTCTGGCTGCTAAGTCGTTAATAAATGTTATTTAATTTTTTTTATAAACAATGGGGTCCTTAACCGATTAGATCGGGGTGTCATCGTTTTGTACTCGTCTCATAGAGTATGTGTGATTTTTTTCAAGTCGCTACTAGTTTGCGTTTGGTCTGGCTGCTAGATTGTTAATAAATGTTATTTAATTTTTTTAATAAACAACGAGGTCCTTAACCGGTTAGATCGCGATGTCATCGTTTTGTATTCGTCTCGTAGAGTATGTGTGATTTTTTTCAAGTCGTTACGGGTTTGCGTTCGATTGCGGGCTGCTGAATAGTAAGTATTTGAATGTTAATTAATTTTTTTGTCAATAATGGTTACCCCCCCCTGACAGATTATTTTAAATCTTACTTATTTTAACTATTTTTGCGCCACCTGAAATGTGTGACTGACTTTTAATAGGTTTTCAATGCGTTTTATTAATTTTTAATTTCTGGGCCCCAGTACCTTATTCGGCCCTGGCTGGAGCGTTCTGGCTGCTAAGTCTGGCTGCCAGCTTTACTCTCATTAATTAAGCCGGTCAGAAATAACGATGTTATTTATTACTTTGAATATTTATTACTAACGTTGAAGTGACTTGGGCTGAAATCAGCTTCTGAAATAGATCAGAAATTTCTCGATCAATTCTCAATCGATTTCGCTGAAATTTTTTTGGGATCGTATATAATGTGTAGAATTGCGGTACAAGAGCCAAAATTTTGAAAAAACGTTTCAATAATTTTAAATTTAGTTTTTTACCTGTGATAGGTTACTATTGACATTCGATAGTAATATGTATTCAATTCTATGAAAATTATACAATCACAGTTTAGTTTCAATTCAACTACATACTGCCTACTCTGTTGGTAATATGTATATAAAATATAAAATTAAGAGAGAAGTAACAAATCAGAAATACAAAATTATCGTATTTTAGGCGTACGATAATGAAGAGCTGGCGTACATCGTACCTATAAGTGAAATTATCGTACGTGTACGATAATTATCGTACGGTTACCAACACTGTCCATGACTACGTTTACACCGTGCATTTAGTCCGTAACCTATACGATAGGTGTCTTTGTTTAACCTACAGGATAAACAAGAACATCTATTGTATAGACCGCGGCCTAAATG